ATCCAGTATACAAACCTCCTTAGTGTAATTGGAGGGTTTTTTTTTTTTTTTTTTCAGAAGTTCAAGCAAACACACACATACCCACACCTACAACTGTAAATTTGGTGTAAAAGAAGGGTTACTTCATGTACCAAACGCGTTGTAACCAAAAGAAGATATTGAGTATAAATTAAAATTAAAACTAGCACTCAAAAGTAGAAATACAATTCCTAAACAAATGGTTAAAATCTAGTCAACCATATCATAAAGAGGTAGGAACAGAAATCTTGGAGAAGTTAGAAATGAAATAGGCTTTGTTAATAGCAAGAACATAGGAGTGTAACTCCACTCAATTTCTGATAACTCAGTTTCAGTTGGTTACATAACCAAAATGATTATTTCAAACTCAGATTGAAGATTTATTCCCAACTGTCTTGTGAAGCCAAGGAAATTCTCTGTTATATTTGTTCCACCATAACTCTTCTTGTACTGGCCTTAGATTTTCATTTCAAATGGAATACTGGATAGATTATGTAAAAAAAATTAATTCTTTCTTTGATAGAACGAGTCAACTTCATATATCTCTCCGTGTCTACGAGTTGATGGACGTTTGAATTTCTTCCAATGTTTTTCCCTTAGTTTCGGGTACTATTTTTGCCACGAATAGTACACAAAGCGCGCAAAATCCAGAGTATATTGAAAATGTACCTGAAAAAGGACCAAAAATGTGGAATCAGTTGTGAAACAATCCAAACCTATCATTTCAATTATATGTACTAAAGTTCAAAATTGTACTGACCAGTAGAACTCCAGCTCATAAGAAAGTTGAAGGTGTAGGAGACTCCCCAAGCACCCAACCAGTTTACTAGCACCAACAAACTCCCTGCAGCTCCCTTCACATGTAAAGGGAAGATCTACCAGGGGAAGAAATGAAATGAAGTTCAATAACTTTCTCAGCTCTTCGTTTGGTTTCCAAGAAACGAAAGAGAAAGAAAGATAAAACTTCAATGCTACTGTCATAATTGACTTAGATTGAAGATGCAAAATTCTATCAAGTATTCAGATTTCGGTACAGGATGAAAACTAGAAATGGAATGCAATGTTTGTTTAACATGCTTCTTAACCATGTCATGGAAAATGTTAGATCCATTGTGAAATGGTACAGAGAAGTAATTAGAAATGAACCGATGAATTTTTTTTTTTTTAAGGAATTTAAAGGTTATTCAAATACCTCAGACATTATCACCCAAGGTACTGCTCCCATTCCAATAGAGAATGATGCTATATAAATCTGGTCCAAGTCACAGAAAAAAAAAAAAAAAAACAAACAAACAAACAATAAGATGCACATAAAGATTTTTGAAAATTCTGGATCATATAAAAATTTTCACAAGGTGAATTGTAAAATTACCAGCACTCCAGAAACAGCCAAAAAGGGGACCCATCCGATAAATAAATTTTGATCCTGAATCACAAAAAATTGAACAAGATCAGATTTAATGCAATAGAAGCATTACTGTGGAAACAATTGTACTTTTGGCGATATACCTTGAGAAAGAAAGAAATTCCAGTAAGGAAGCAGCCTAGAAATGTCCCAGTTGCAGACACCTTCAAATGCAAAACCATTTTAATTATAGCCTTCAAAAGATTAGTTTTATAATAAAAGGTGAAAGTGCTAAAAACAACTACTAGTCACTCACCATAAGGAGAGGTCTTCTTCCAGATTTGTCCATTAATATTGCTCCAACTAGAGTTATTGGAACCTATACATAATGAATAGAGATGAGTTTAGGCATATAATGTTTCACTAATTGATCTTCAGAGGTCAGTGAAAGAATTTGAGAATACCTGAATCAAAGCATAAGCTACTGTTCAAATTTTGCCAGAAGATAGCCCTACCATTTACATAATATTTGTTAGTTATAAAGTCCAACATCAAAGGCTCACAGTATAAGCATCTGTGTTTTGGATTTACCAGCTGCAACAAAGGTTTCGCTTACATAGAAACCTATTCCATTAATCCCTCCAAATTGTTGGAACACCATTAGTCCGACGCCAATCTAAACACAATCAACAAGTCCAAAACTGTAAGAGCTGAGCAACCAATTGAAACTAACGATCAGATTTTTTTTTTAACATGTTGAGAAAGTTGCTTACGATCATGGATCGTATGTACTTGCTGTTAAACAAATCCAGTATTCTAGATTTAGGAAGGCTTTGAAGAGTCTCAATATAAGCCTGTCAAGAAACAGAAATAGTAAGTTTTCCACACTTCTGCTTTAAGGAATTTTCAAATAGATGATTTGTTAAGAAAAATGGTATACTTGGATTTCAGCAGATTCACGAGAAACGTCTGCATCTTTACCACGCAGCCTGTGTAGTGCAATCTCAGATTCTTTCACAAGACCTACCTTTGCCTGCAATTTTCAATTTTAGTTTCATTTCTCACCAGTTTTCTCACTGAAACCATAATTGTGAAAGCTTGATTTTTTCTTCACTCACCAGCCATCTGGGAGACTCTGGAATAAAGAACAGCCCCACAAGCAAAACAATGCACGGAACAAGTCCTTCAATTCAAAGCAATTAGTCAGTTTTTATGTGTGTCCCAATTTTTTTTCTAAACTTGTACCACATCTCATCATAGAATTATAAACTGCAGAATTATAATTTACCAGTCAGAGCTAGTGTTCGCCACGTTATCATTGTTCCAATCAAGAATGCAACCGATGAGCCACAAACAATCATGAGCTGCAGAACCAAAGAGGAGGAAATGTCATTGATCAAGTCCTTTGAATCTGAACTACATAAAAATCAAGCAATATGACTCTCCTACCTGATTTATTGTAGTGAGTCCTCCCCGGAGATTCTTTGGTGCTATTTCAGCTATAAATATTGGGATCTATTATTCAATTAAATCAATAGTTTGTTAGATCATGGGATAGTGCCAGAAAACATAAATTTCAAACCTTGTTAAGTTAGTCGTATAATGCTAAGTTGTTAAAATATTTACCACATAAGAGAAGATGCCAATGCCATAGCCTGTGAAAAATCTTCCAATATCAAGTGGCAATGTTCCCTATATAAGTATCATGATACAAAGAAAAATAACAATGGGTGATTAATTTTTTTTATATTTACCAAGTTCTAAAGAATAAAAAAAAAATGTGCGTATAGTATATACCATGGAGAAGTAGACTGCTAGCCATCCTGTAATGCAGAAACCAGCTGACATTCTCATTGCCTGATTCCATCAACACACCAAACAAAGTTTAATTATCCGAAGCCAGCTGAGCTTAGCTTTGAATTAACAAGAATTTTAAGTACTACACAGCACACACGCCTTTTCGACCAAGGAAGTCTGCAATTCGTCCACTTGTTATAGCACCAATCATCGCGCCAATTGTTAGTATGGAACCGAACATGGAGTACTGCAAGGTGATAGAAAATTAGTTCCAATTTGTATGATACCCCGCGTTGCTCCTAGTCCTACTGACCGAAAAGGAATTAAAAAAAATAAACCGACAAACCTCAGCTAGTGTCAAACTCAGGTCTTCCCTTATAGCAGATTGAGTGGGTGCTGAGAAGCCCACCTGCAAAAAAAGCTAACTTAGGCTAAAGATTTTTTTTTTCTTTTCTCTTTTTTGCTTTTGCTTTTGCATTTGTTTTCGTTTTTGTGTTCGTGTGTTTTCATTTTTGGTGTTCCTGATCAAAAAAAAAAAAAAAAAAAAAAAAAAGAAGAAGAAGAAACTTGTTAATTAAGTGTTTCTTGAACCAAAAATTGGTTTATACTGAAAAAAGACATTTTGATATATACTTACACAGGTTCCAAATTCAAAAGAGCCACAGACTGCGACAAATGTACTAAGCAAAAGCATGCCAATTGAGCCACTTTCATGATCTCTCTCATTGGCCTCAACATCTTCATACTCTGCAATTTTCTTATGCACTATGAATGGCTTTTCCAAATCTTCAAACTTGCTTTCACCATTTTCAATGTCTTTACATTGATTCATGGCCATATTTATCGACCTGTTTACCAATCTAAGTGAAAATATGTATATATATACAGAAGAGAAAAAAGAAAAAAGAAAAGAAAAAGGGATGGACTAGAAAGTGTTCAAAGCTGGTATGAATATGAGAATGCTGAGTCTGTGTGGAGATATATATATAAATACACGTGACAATGCTAGATATTTAAGTACCTTTGTCTCATATTAATGATTGGGTATTAAGATATTCTATAAAGATTGATATTGGAATACATGTGAAATGAAGCTGTACCTGACGTGTGATCTAATCAGCCCATGCTATCATATGGATATATGGTCTGTATGTACAGAAATATGTTGAAGGTGAAATTTAGAAATGGTCAAAAACAATAAACATGTGGTCCTATTTAAATAATACCATTGGATTAACAAATGAACCCTTTTTCACTTCTATATATTGGTGCTTTGCTGGCTCTTAGGTGGACTAATGATAAAGAATATATAAAAGGATGATGAGACTAATGTCTCATTATTAAATATTGATATTTGATAAAGGGCAAAGATATGCTGTTGGATGTTCTTCATAAATGACTGGAATCCGATGTGGCTATGGCAATCATTCAATGAAGAGTAATGACACGACAATCCATCGATTATTTATTTATTTTTTGGATCCAAATGAGTAGATTTCAATAAGGACTCTTGTCAGCAAAGAATAAGAACAGACTCTATCTCTTTTTTAAGTGTTTAATGAATTTTTGAGCATGCTTGCAATGAAAAATCGAACTCAATCATGGAATTGGAACTTACCTCCCTTCTTCTTTGCTGCTGTCATTTTTGTTTTACTGAATTTGGGATAGTGGAGTATCCAAAATAGTATATGAACCTCCTCCATATAATTGGAGGTTTTTTTTTTTGTTTTTTTCTTTGAAAGTTAAAGCAAAAGCACACATATCCACACATAGAACTGTAAATTTTGTAAAATTTACTCAACCTCATCATAAAGAGGTAGGAACAGAAATCTTGCAGAAGTTAGAAATGAAATAGGTTTTATTAATCTCAAAATATTGGTCACAACTGGTGCTATTTGGTCATATCCCAAGCAAGAACATAGGAATGTAACTCCACTCAATTTCTCATATTTTCCATACACAGAACTCAGTTTCAGTTGGTTACATAACCAAAATGATTATTTCAAACTCAGATTGAAGATGTATTCCCAACTTTCTTGTGACGCCAAGGAAATTCTCTGTTATACACCATCAAAGCCTTAAATTTGTTCCTCCATAACTCTTCTTGTAATGGCCTTGGAATTTCATTTCAAATGGAATACTGGATAGATTATGTAAAAAAAAAAAAAAAAACCATGTCTACTTCATATATCTCTCCGTGTCTACGAGTTGATGGATGTCTGAATTTCTTCCAATGTTTTTCCCTTGGTTTCGGGTACTATTTTTGCCACGAATAGTACACAGAGTGCGCAGAATCCAGAGTATATTGAAAATGTACCTGAAAAAGGCCCAAAAATGTGGAATCAGTTGTGAAACAATCCAAACCTATCATTTCAATTTTATGTACTAAAGTTCAAAATTGTACTAACCAGTAGGACTCCAGCTCATAAGAAAGTTGAAGGTGTAGGAGACTGCCCAAGCACCCAACCAGTTTACTAGCACCACCAAACTCCCTGCTGCTCCCTTCACATGTAAAGGGAAGATCTACCAGGGGAAGAAATGAAATGAAGTTCAATAACTTTCTCAGCTCTTCGTTTGGTTTCCAAGAAAGAGAGAGAAAGATAAAACTTCAATGCTACTGTCATAATTAACTTAGATTGAAGATGCAAAATTCTATCCAAGATTCAGATTTTGGTCGAGGACGAAAACTAGGAATGGAATGCGATGTTTGTTTAACATGCTTCTTAACCATGTCATGGAAAATGTTAGATATATTGTGAAATGGTACTTAGAAATGAACCGATGCAATTTTTTTTTTTTTTTAAGAAGTTAAAGATTATTCAAATACCTCAGACATTATCACCCAAGGTACTGCTCCCATTCCAATAGAGAATGATGCCATATAAATCTGGTCCAATTCAGACAGAGTGAGAGAGAGAGAGAGAAAAAAAAAAAAAAAAAAAAAAAAACCAACAACAACAACAATAAGATGCACATAAAGATCTATGAAAATTCTGGATCGGATCATATAAAAATTTTCACAAGGTGAATTGTAGAATTACCAGTACTCCAGAAACAGCCACAAAGGGGACCCATCTGATAAATAAATTTTGATCCTGATTCACAAAAAATTGAACAAGATCAGATTTAATGCAATAGAAACATTATTGTGGAAACAATTGTACTTTTGGTGATATACCTTGAGAAAGAAAGAAATTCCAGTTAGGAAGCAGCCTAGAAATGTCCCAGTTGCAGACACCTTCAAATGCAAAACAATTTTAATTATAGCCTTCAAAAACTTATCCCTTGCTGATTAGTTTTATAATAAAAGGTGAAAGTGCTAATAACAACTACTAATCACTCACCATAAGAAGAGGTCTTCTTCCAGATTTGTCCATTAATATCGCTCCAATTAAAGTTATTGGAACCTATACATAATGAATATAGGTGAGTTTAGGCATATAATGTTTCACTAATTCATCTTTAGAGGTCAGTGAAAGAATTTGAGAATACCTGAATCAAAGCAATAGCTACTGTTCCAATTTTGCCAGAAGATAGCCCTACCATTTACATAATATTTGTTAGTGATAAAGTTCAACATCAAAGGGTTGCAGTATAAAGCATTTTGAGTTTTGGAATTACCAGCTGCTACAAAGGTTTCGCTTACATAGAAACCTATTCCATTAATCCCACCAAATTGTTGGAACACCATTAGTCCGACGCCAATCTAAACATAATCAACATGTTGAAAACTGTCGGAGCTGAGCAACCACTTGGAAACAATGATCATAATTTTTTTTAGCATGTAGAGAAAGTTCCTTACAATCACTGATCGTATGTGTCTGCTGTCAAACAAATCCAGTATTCTAGCTTTAGGAAGACTTTGAAGAGTCTCAATATAAACCTGTCAAGAAACAAAAATAGTAAGTTTTCCACACTTGAGCTGCAAGGAATGTTCAAATAGATGATTTGTTAAGAGAAGTGGTATACTTGGATTTCAGCAGATTCCCGCGAAACATCTGCATCTTTGCCACGAAGTCTGCTTAGTGCAATCTCAGATTCTTTCACGAGGCCTACCTTTGCCTGCAATTTTCAATTTTAGTTTCATTTCTCACCAGTTCTCTCATTCAAAACCATAATTGTGAAAGCTTGATTTTTCCTTCACTCACCAGCCATCTGGGAGACTCTGGAATAAAGAACAGCCCCACAAGCAAGACAATGCACGGAACAAGTCCTTCAATTCAAAGCAATTAGTCAGTTTTTATGTGTGTCCCAATTTTTTTTCTAAACTTGTACCACATCTCATCATAGAATTATAAACTGCAAAATTATAATTTACCAGTCAGAGCTAGTGTTCGCCATGTTATCATTGTTCCAATCAAGAATGCAAACGATGAGCCACAAACAATCATGAGCTGCAGAACCGAAAAAGAGGAAATGTCATTGATCAAGTCCTTTGAATCTGAATTACATAAAAATCAAGCAATATGACTCTCCTACCTGATTTATTGTAGTGAGTCCTCCCCGGAGATTCTTTGGTGCTATTTCAGCTATAAATATTGGGATCTATTATTCAATTAAATCAATAGTTTGTTAGATCATGGGATAGTGCCAGAAAACATAAATTTCAAACCTTGTTAAGTTAGTCGTATAATGCTAAGTTGTTAAAATATTTACCACATAAGAGAAGATGCCAATGCCATAGCCTGTGAAAAATCTTCCAATATCAAGTGGCAATGTTCCCTATATAAGTATCATGATACAAAGAAAAATAACAATGGGTGATTAATTTTTTTTATATTTACCAAGTTCTAAAGAATAAAAAAAAAATGTGCGTATAGTATATACCATGGAGAAGTAGACTGCTAGCCATCCTGTAATGCAGAAACCAGCTGACATTCTCATTGCCTGATTCCATCAACACACCAAACAAAGTTTAATTATCCGAAACCAGCTGAGCTTAGCTTTGAATTAACAAGAATTTTAAGTACTACACAGCACACACCCCTTTTCGACCAAGGAAGTCTGCAATTCGTCCACTTGTTATAGCACCAATCATCGCGCCAATTGTTAGTATGGAACCGAACATGGAGTACTGCAAGGTGATAGAAAATTAGTTCCAATTTGTATGATACCCCGCGTTGCTCCTAGTCCTACTGACCGAAAAGGAATTAAAAAAAATAAACCGACAAACCTCAGCTAGTGTCAAACTCAGGTCTTCCCTCATAGCAGATTGAGTGGGTGCTGAGAAGCCCACCTGCAAAAAAAGCTGACTTAGGCTAAAGATTTATTTTTTCTTTCCCTTTTTTGCTTTTGCGTTTGCATTTGTTTTCGTTTTTGTGTTCGTGTGTTTTCATTTTTGGTGTTCCTGACCAAGAAGAAGGAAAAAGAAAGAAGAAACTTGTTAATTAAGTGTTTCTTGAACCAAAAATTGGTTTATACTGAAAAAGACATTTTGATATATACTTACACAGGTTCCAAATTCAAAAGAGCCACATACTGCAACAAATGTACTAAGCAAAAGCATGCCAATTGAGCCACTTTCATCATCTCTCTCATTGGCCTTAACATCTTCATACTCTGCAATTTTCTTATGCACTAAGAATGGCTTTTCCAAATCTTCAAGCTTGCTTTCACCATTTTCAATGTCTTTACATTGATTCATGGCCATATTTTTCGACCTGTTTACCAATCTAAGTACAAAAAAAAAAAAAATACAGGAGAGAAGAAAAAAAAAAAAAAAAAAAGGTATGGACTGGAATGTGTTCAAAGTTGATATGAATATGAGAATGCTGAGCCTGTGTGGAGTTATAAATACATGTCACAATGCTAGATATTTAAGTACCTTTGTCTCATATTAATGATTGGGTATTAAGATATTCTATAAAGATTGATATTGGAATACATGTGAAATGAAGCTGTATCTGACGTGTGTTCTAATCAGCCTATCATATGGATATATGGTCGGTACGTACAGAAATCTGTTGAATGTGAAATTTAGAAATGGTCAAACAGAATAAACATGTGGTCCTATTTAAATAATGGTAACAGATCCTCTCCAAAGAAAGCTCTCTCCAAGTATTAATCTTAGGATTACTAAAGCGTCACATCCGCTTTTCCATTCAACTTTCATGTTAGGGAGTAGTTTCCTTCCTATAATTGAATTCTTCTCTCAAAACTAGTCAATTATTCTATCAATCTCGAATAACATGGATCTTTGGAAATTGGAGATATTTTAAGGGTTTATGTAGAAATCTCAAATTTGAGCAATACTAATTTTTCTAGAATTTGTGATTAGAAATATATGTTTGATTAATCTTGCAAATCTTCAATTGTAATACTAAAAATTGTTGATGGTAGAGAAAATCGAAAAAGAAAGTTTCAGAGGTAAGAAAGTTATTTTAAGGGTTTATGTAGAAATCTCAAATTTGGGCAATACTAATTTTTTTTAGAATTTGTGAATAGAAATATATGTTTGATTAATCTTACAAATCTTCAATTGTAAAAATCAAAGATTGTTTTTTATTAAAAAAAAAAAAAAAAAGATTGTTGATGGTAGAGAAAATCGAAAAAGAAAGTTTCAGGTAAGAAGTTATTTTAAAGGTTTAGGTAGAAATCTCAACTTTGGATAATACTAATTTTTCTAGAATTTGTGAATAGAAATATATGTTTAATGAATCTTGCAAATCTTCAATTGTAATAATCAAAGATTGTTGATGGTAGAGAAAATCGAAAAAGAAAGTTTGAGAACGGTAAGAAATTGTTTGAGTGAATTCAATAATCAAATAAGTTATTAATGTGGCCCATTAGTAGTGTAAGGATTAATACATGTAGATGCTTAAAGAGAACTTTCCTTGGTGAGGATCCGTACCCTTAAATAATACCATTGGATTAACAAATGAATCCTTTTAAGGAATTACATATTAAAGTTACAAAACAAGAACACACAATTTTTATTTGGTACACCTAAAAATTAGGCCTATGCTTAAAGGTTGCAAAAATTTCACTATTACGGCACAAGACACAACGAGTTTAAAATGAATAATATAATAAGTGCGAAAAATACCAAAATACTATTCCAAAAATTCGAGTTTGAGTAACCTTACCTTAAGTAGGAGACGACTCCCGCCAACTTACCGCAATGTTGAATTTTGGCGTACAATATTTTTGAAGCTCCACACTACCATGACCTTTTTCACTTTTATATATATATGGTGCTTTGTCTTAGTTGGACTGATGATAAAGAATACTAAAAGGATGATGAGATCATGAGACTAATATTTTATTATTAAATACTGTTATTTAATTAAGGAAATGACTCGAATTCATCTTCGCTATGGCAATCGATGACACAACCTTTTTTTTTTTTTGCCACAACCCGCACAGTTGAAATATGGCTCTTAGGTGGACTAATGATAAAGAATATATAAAAGGATGATGAGACTAATGTTTCATTATAAAATATTGATATTTGACTAAGGGCAAACGCACACACATGCCTACACATACAACTGTTAAATTTGGTGTAAAGAAAGGGCTACTTCATGTACCAAACGCATTGTACCCAAAAGAAGATATTGAGTATAAATTAAAATTAAAACTAGCATTCAAAAGTAAAAATATAATTCCGAAATAAGATCTAGTCAACCCTATCACAAAGAGGGAAGAACAGGAATCTTGCAGAAGTTAGCAATGAAATGGGCTTTATTAAGCTCAAAATATTGGTCACAGCTGGTTCTTTTTGGTCATATCCCAAGCAAGAACATAGGAATGCAACTCCACTCAATTTCTCATATTTTCCATACACAGAACTTGTTCCTATCTCTTCTTGTAATGGCCTTGGATTTTCATTTCAAATGGAATACTGGATAGATTATGTAAAAAAAATTAGTTCTTTCTTTGATATAATAGAGTCTACTTCATATATCTCTCCGTGTCTACGAGTTGATGGATGTCTGAATTTCTTCCAATGTCTTTCCCTTGGTTTCGGGTACTATTTTTGCCACGAATAGTACACAGAGCGCGCAAAATCCAGAGTATATTGAAAATGTACCTGAAAAAGGCCCAAAAATGTGGAATCAGTTGTGAAACAATCCAAACCTATCATTTCAATTTTATGTACTAAAGTTCAAAATTGTACTAACCAGTAGGACTCCAGCTCATAAGAAAGTTGAAGGTGTAGGAGACTGCCCAAGCACCCAACCAGTTTACTAGCACCACCAAACTCCCTGCTGCTCCCTTCACATGTAAAGGGAAGATCTGCCAGGGGAAGAAATGAAATGAAGTTCAATAACTTTCTCAGCTCTTCGTTTGGTTTCCAAGAAACGAAAGAGAAAGAAAGATAAAACTTCAATGCTACTGTCATAATTGACTTAGATGGAAGATGCAAAATTCTATCCAAGATTCAGGTTTTGGTCAAGGACGAAAACTAGAAATGGAATGCAATGTTTGTTTAACATGCTGCTTAACCATGTCATGGAAAATGTTAGATCCATTGTGAAATGGTACAAAGGAGTACTATAGAAATGAATAGATGAAAAAAAGAAAAAAAGAAAAAAAGAATTGAGGAATTAAAAGGTTATTCAAATACCTCAGACATTATCACCCAAGGAACTGCTCCCATTCCAATAGAGAATGATGCTATATAAATCTGGTAAAAAAAAAGATGCACATAAAGATTTTTGAAAATTCAGGATCATATAAAAAAAATTCACAAGGTGAATTGTAGAATTACCAGTACTCCAGAAACAGCCAAAAAGGGGACCCATCCCAGAAATAAAATTTGATCCTGATTCACAAAAAAATTGAACAAGATCGGATTTAATGCAATAGAAACAAATTTTTTTTTTTTTTGGGTAAGTAAAATAGAAACAAACTTCAACATTATTGTGGAAACAATTGTACTTTTGGTGATATACCTTGAAAAAGAAAGAAATTCCAGTTAGGAAGCAGCCTAGAAATGTCCCAGTTGCAGACACCTTCAAATGCAAAACCATTTTAATTAGAGCCTTCAAAAGCTTATCTCTTGCTGATTAGTGCTAATAACAACTACTAATCACTCACCATAAGAAGAGGTCTTCTTCCAGATTTGTCCATTAATATTGCTCCAACTAGAGTTATTGGAACCTATACATAATGAATACAGATGAGTTTAGGCATATAATGTTTCACTAATTGATCTTCAGAGGTCAGTGAAAGAATTTGAGAATACCTGAATCAAAGCATAAGCTACTGTTCCAATTTTGCCGGAAGATAGCCCTACCATTTACATAATATTTGTTAGTTATAAAGTTCAATATCAAAGGCTCACAGTATAAGTACATGTGTTTTGGATTTACCAGCTGCAACAAAGGTTTCGCTTACATAGAAACCTATTCCATTAATCCCTCCAAATTGTTGGAACACCATTAGTCCGACGCCAATCTAAACACAATCAACAAGTCCAAAACTGTAAGAGCTGAGCAATCAGTTGAAACTAATGATCAGAAATTTTTTAACATGTTGAGAAAGTTGCTTACGATCATGGATCGTATGTATTTGCTGTTAAACAAATCCAGCATTCTAGCTTTAGGAAGGCTTTGAAGAGTCTCAATATAAGCCTGTCAAGAAACAGAAATAGTAAGTTTTCCACACTTCTGCTTTAAGGAATTTTCAAATAGATGATTTGTTAAGAAAAATGGTATACTTGGATTTCAGCAGATTCACGAGAAACGTCTGCATCTTTACCACGCAGCCTGTGTAGTGCAATCTCGGATTCTTTCACAAGGCCTACCTTTGCCTGCAATTTTCAATTTTAGTTTCATTTCTCACCTTTTTTCTCATTCAAAACCATAATTGTGAAAGCTTGATTTTTTCTTCACTCACCAGCCATCTGGGAGACTCTGGAATAAAGAACAGCCCCACAAGCAAGACAATGCACGGAACAAGTCCTTCAATTCAAAGCAATTAGTCAGTTTTTATGTGTGTCCCAATTTTTTTTCTAAACTTGTACCACATCTCACCATAAAATTATTAACTGCAAAATTATAATTTACCAGTCAGAGCTAGTGTTCGCCACGTTATCATTGTTCCAATCAAGAATGCAACCGATGAGCCACAAACAATCATGAGCTGCAGAACCGAAAAGGAGGAAATGTCATTGATCAAGTCCTTTGAATCTGAACTACATAAAAATCAAGCAATATGACTCTCCTACCTGATTTATTGTAGTGAGTCCTCCCCGGAGATTCTTTGGTGCTATTTCAGCTATAAATATTGGGATCTATTTATTCAATTAAATCAATAGCTTGTTAGATCATGGGATAGTGCCAGAAAACATAAATTTCAAACCTTGTTAAGTTAGTTGTAAAATGCTCAGTTGTTAAAATATTTACCACATAAGAGAAGATGCCAATGCCATAGCCTGTGAAAAATCTTCCAATATCAAGTGCCAATGTTCCCTATATAAGTATCATGATACAAAGAAAAATAACAATGGGTGATTAATTTTTTATATATTTACCAAGTTCTAAAGAATAAAAAAAAAATGTGCGTATAGTATATACCATGGAGAAGTAGACTGCTAGCCATCCTGTAATGCAGAAACCAGCTGACATTCTCATTGCCTGATTCCATCAACACACCAAACAAAGTTAAATTATCCGAAACCAGTGAGAGCTTAGCTATGAATTTACAAGAATTTTAAGTACTACACAGTACACACCCCTTTTCGACCAAGGAAGTCTGCAATTCGTCCACTTGTTATAGCACCAATCATCGCGCCAATTGTTAGTATGGAACCAAACATGGAGTACTGCAAGGTGATAGAAAATTAGTTCCAATTTGTATGATACCCCGCATTGCTCCTAATGAAGGAAAAGGAATTAAAAAAACATACAAACCTCTCCTAGTGTCAAACTCAGGTCTTCCCTTATGGCAGATTGAGTGGGTGCTGAGAAGCCCACCTGCAAAAAAAGCGAACTTAGGCTAAAGATTTTTTTTTTTTTCTTTCCCTTTTTTGCTTTTGCTTTTGCATTTGTTTCCGTTTTTGTGTTCGTGTGTTTTCATTTTTGGTGTTCCTGATCAAGAAGAAGGAAAAAAAAAAAAATGAAAAAGAAGAAGAAGAAGAAGAAACTTGTTAATTAAGTGTTTCTTGAACCAAAAATTGGTTTATACTGAAAAAAAAAAAAAAAAAGACATGTTGATAAAGACTTACACAGGTTCCAAATTCAAAAGAGCCACAGACTGCAACAAATGTGCTTAGCAAAACCATGCCAATCGAGCCACTTTCATGATCTCTCTCATTGGCCTCAACATCCTCATACTCTGCAATTTTCTTATGCACTAAGAATGGCTTTTCCAAATCTTCAAGCTTGCTTTCACCATTTTGAATGTCTTTACATTGATTCATGGCCATATTTATCGACCTGTTTACCAATCCAAGTACAAATATATATATATATACACACAGAAGAGAAAAAAAAAGGGATGGACTAGAAAGTGTTCAAAGCTGGTATGAATATGAGAATGCCGAGTCTGCGTGGAGATATATATATATATATACGTGTGACAATGCTAGATATTTAAGTACCTTTGTCTCATATTAATGATTGGGTATTAAGATATTTTATAAAGATTGATATTGGAATACATGTGGAATGAAGCTGTACCTGACGTGTGATCTAATCAGCCCATGCTATCATATTGATATATAGTCTGTATCTGTGTGTACAGAAATTTGTTGAACGTGAAATTTATAAATGGTCAAAAACAATAAACATGTGGTCCTATTTAAATAATCCCATTGGATTAACAAATGAATCGTTTTAAGGAATTACATATTAAAGTCATACAACAAGAACACAAAATTTTTACTTGGTACACCTAAAAATTAAGCCTATGTTTAAAAGTCGTAGAAATTTCACTATTACAGCACAAGACACAACGAGTTCAAAATGAATAACATAACAAGTGTAAAAAATATCAAAATATCCCTCCAAAGATTTGTATGCAAAGTTTTTTGAGTTCTTCTATCATCGCTGTTTGTTCAGTAATAATGAAATAATAACATTATCTTCTTACCGATCGACTGTACATCAAGACGACTCCCACTAATCTGTGTTGAATTTTGAAATACAATATTTTTGAAGCTCCACACTACCCACCCCTTTTTCACTTTTATTATATAAGTTGTGCTTTGGTGGCTCTTAGTTGGACTAATGATAAAGAAAACATAAAAGGATGACGAGACTAATGTTTTATTATTAAATATTGTTATTTAATTATGGGAAAAGATATTATGTTGGATGTTCTTCATAATTGTCTATCTTCGGCTATCATTCAATGAAGAGTGATACAATTTCGTTTTTCGGTTTTTTTTTTTTTTTTTTTTTTTTTTTTTTTTTTTTTTTTTTTTGCCACAACCCTACACAGTTGAAATATGACTTTCTGAAAAAAAAAATTGAAATAAAGAATTTGGATCTCTCACTTGTGCAATTTTAGGCCTATGGCGCTTCGGTGTATCTAAATCATTAATGCAACAGTCACATTACAAATTTAAATTTATACTACAACAATTTTAAATTAACAACATAACAAATATGTAAAAATATTAATATCTTGATTAATGGGATTGCAATATTACAATACAATACAATAGTACATGAATGTTGCATTTTGGATATAAATATTTTTACATCCTTGTTGGTCCAAATTAAGTGAAGAGGAGTATTTTTGCCAAAACTATATAAATTATGTAGCATGCTCTTTGGGAAGAGGACAAGATCAAAGTGCAGACAAACAAATCGTGTAGTCTTTAATTAGATATTAATTACCAACATACATACATATATATATATATATATATATAATTTCTTTTGTTAAGAGAGGGCTGGTTTAGGCTGACTATATTTTTTCTTTTCTTTTCTTTTTTTTTTTTGCTCATATTTAATTTTGTAATACATATATTTATTTTAGTGAGCTCGTGAGTTCACTAAACTGATAATAGGCCATCATTTGATGAAGAAGAGTCTTAGAATAAACATATTACCATGATTATAGACAGCCTAACTTGGCCAGTCCCTCTCTAAATGGCCAACCATTACCTCTCCAGTGCAGCTAGGGTTAGGCTGCTATTTTTATGTGGCCAGTCTTTCCATTTCTTAAATCATTTTTGATAATTTTGACAAGACATGCAACAACTCTTTATTTATTTATTTATTTATTTTATCTAATAATTAACATAAACAATTTAATCAAAACAGGGGATTGAAAAAGAAAGAAAAAGATTTCCGAGGCTATATCTAAAGCATGTAAGCTCTCCAAAAATCACACTGAAGTTTCAACATAATCCATTGCGAATCTAATTTTGCATTATTATTAAGAAAATAAACTTTTAACCAATTTTTTAACTCAACTCAAGGTGAATAGTTAAAGAGTTCTTATTCCTTTGATGCTATAAATGGGACCAAAGATGATCCAACACAATAACTCGTCCAATTAAACAAATTGATTAAAAAATAGATATAAATAACATTATTCTTATTATTATTTTTTTGTTAGAGAATACAACTTTCAATTCAATCTTCTAACAAGTTGTGGATGTGGGTTCCACAACCCAGTAATCATGTTTTGTTTTTTTCTCATTAAACTTTAGACTATAATGATAAAATTTAAATAGGTACAAATAGTTGAAATTTTATAATTATAATGATAAAATTTGTCATAAAAGGGTAAAATTAGAAAACCACATTTCTCTCTCTCTTTCTCTTGTCTATAATAAGTTCATTATTCACCCACCTTCAATGATTTTCTTTAAATTTGTCTACACTCTCACCTAATCACTTTGAACTCTTTTGTGGTATACCTGCCATGTGAGGCCTCTACCTTATCCTTGACCACAACCATTGAAATTACATACTGATTATGTTTTATTTGAAGCGATTAATTTGAATAATTAATTAGTCCAACATTTGAAATAATGATATCATTGTATGCCCATTAAGACACTCAAAGCTAATTATACAATTGATTGTGACCATTTCAGATGAGTCCAAAAATCTGAGTTGGAACCAGGTGATCAAATTTGCAACTCTGATATGTTGTATTTTACCAGTCGACGGCATTTATGATGGTAGTCATGTGATTTATTTTTAATCAGATAATATTTACGTGATCTTTTGTAAGGATATTCTATTCCGACGGCTGATGCATTCTATTTTGACTGCTGATGTCAACCTATATTATATAAACAGTCTTTTTTTTTTTTTTTTAATTATCCAGTGAAGTTATATATATATATATATATATATATATATATATATTCTTAAATAGTATTCACACACATATTTTCACTAACGTTGAGGCTCGGATCCCTAACCTTTTTATGAGAAGTAAGGACCTAATATCGATGACCTATTAATATAGTGATGAAGTTATATAATTTCTTACCAAATCAAAAATGATATATTTATTACTATATCTGATTGGGTAATTAAAATATAAGTGATTTATTATTGACACATATCAATGGCGAAAATTATGTACATTCTCCCGCGAGTACCTAAGCATTTTCCTTTCTAATTTATATGCTAGAAACATAGTGTGATTCATTATAACTAGCTAATTGGACTAATTAAAAATTAAAACTAACATTAAAAACATTATTGGTTCCATTGAGGGCCTTTAAATATTCACTTGGAACCAACAGGCATGTGGTCTAGCGGTATAAGAATCCTACTTTTTAAAAAGAGATCAGGAGTTCGAATCTCAATAGAGACAGTATGTGTGAGTCTCGACTGAAAAAAAAAAAAAAAAAAAAAAAAAAAAAAAAATTCACTTGAACTGAGTACACATGAATCTAGGGATGTCATAATTGTACTATACTAAATAACTCAATCCAAACACAACCCGTCTAATATTCGTGTTAGGAACCCTAATCCGACCTATTTATTAAACGGGTTATACGTATAACCTGTTTAATGACCTAATTATTAAAATAAAAAATTATATTAGTTAAATTATTAATAACACTCAACTAAATAATAAATACCAAGAAAATATAAGTTACAATCTAGCCAAATTACTAAATAATCTCCCGTCTACAATGAAATAAATTATAAAATATAAGTTTAGATAATTATTTTGAAACTTAAACATAAATTTATTTACAACACGTATGCTTAAACGAGTTACGTGGATTAAACCACCTCAATTCAAACACGACACGATTAATTAAACAAGTTAATCGTGTCGATCCGTTTACAACCCAAACCCGTTTAAGATCAACCTAAATACGTTTAACTTGTGTTGTGTTCGAGTCGTGTTTACAGGTCATGTTAAAATAGTTTTGTTATAATATAAATGAAACACCTGATATAGAGATTTTTATTTTTATTCTTTTAACCATTTCGAGACATAATACTTTGAAAATACAACATGGTATGCTAATGTGTTACATTCTTGATATAATAGTATTATGAGTATTACATTATTTATGAAGTAGCGTTACAAACGTTACATTTTTATTTATTTATTTTTATTTTTTCATTTTGATGTAACATATTTTTACAATGTGAAATGTTGTATTAAAACGATGCGATCTTGATCCTCTTTGATGGGAACTTGATCCTCCCATATAAATTGGGCCTTTTTATATGGACTTGATCATCTCTTGTGAATTGGGCCGTCTAATGGCACAATTCATTTTGATGCCTGAAAGCAAGAAGAGGGCATGGCAAATTCGTCGCCGTAACTATGTTATATCTATAATTGCGAAATTGCCCTTGTCTTATAAAGGGTACCACTACCACTCGGCGCATGAACCATCCGCAGAGGGGCTTTTAGGATTAGGGTTTATCTGGTCTCAGGGTTTTCAATTTCCCCTTGAAATCAAAGTAGAGAGAGATAGAGAGAGAGAGGAGAGAGGTGTTGGAATGGGGAGGTACAGAAGCCGAAGCAGAAGCTACAGCCCTAGGCGTGGCAGAAGCCCACCTCGACGCAAGCAATACGATGAGCCACCTCGCGATACCAGGTCTCGCAGAGACAGACGATCCCCTGCTCCTTCTGGTCTGCTCGTTCGCAACATCTCTCTCGACGCAAGGTCTCTTCATTTCTTCTTGTTCTGGTTCTTGTTCTTCTTGTCGTCTTTTTATTTCCTTTTCGACTAGGTTTGTTTCACTAATCTTTGTTTGATTCGTAAAATTTATTGTATTATTTTTGTTGTTATGCTCTCCATTTTATTCATGTCATTTGCAGCAACAAATTTATTGGACTTCCTCTAATTAGCTGTAGTTTTATTGTGTTTTTGGATAATTATTTCCGAAAATACCCAAAACAATTGTGAGGAGTTCCCGACTTTATTTCAATTATGGAATGGCTTATATTTCTTTGTTTATTTACATTCGTTGATCTTCTTACTTGTGAATGATTTTCACCCTTTTGTTCACGCAACTCCATGTTCCAAATTATTTGAATTCGATATAATGTCAACATGATCATTATTTGTGGGATGATCTTCTTGAATTATTGTCATTCGTTATTTTTATTTTATTGTATAGTTTTTTAAGTATATTTTTAAAGGTCATAGTCTCTATAAATTGAGTGGGCTGAAATGTTGGGTATTTGAACTGTATGCCAGAAAACAAATTTTTTAAAAGAAAAGAAATTTGTTAATTACTTTTTAGTGGAAATGCTCTGAGATGGGATTGTCATCTTTCTGTTTCCTAATTATGTCAAATACTTGTTACTGTAAACCTTGTCAACGTTTTTGTGTTTTTGCAGTGTTTAAAGGACTAATGGTTCTATTTGATGCTGTGCAGACCAGAAGATCTTAGAAATCCGTTTGAGCGATTTGGTCCCATAAAAGATGTGTATCTACCTAAGGATTACTACACCGGGTATGCTTATTTCTAGTATTAAACGTCCATATGTTGGTGTTGTATTTTTATGGCTCTGGAGATTGGAGTCCTAAACTCCTTAAGAACAATACTTGCATTTTGAAGTCATGCCTTCCCTAAGATTTGCACATACAAGAGCCTAGGATTGAAAACATTGATCTAAATGGGTTTATGGCCATTGAAAATCTTAGACCCTTGAGTTAAATTGAATTATTAATAGAAATCGAACTTGCATTATAATATATAGGAAATTATGAGGGGCACCCACCCCCTGGGAGGAACTGGGAAGGGGGGAAGTTTTTGGTGATTGATTGCGACACTGTGAAAGTTGAATTTGCAAGCAAGAAGGATCATTTGCAAGAAATTACACATGCTTTACTCTTTTTAAACTCGAATAGTTTAGGAAATTACATGTTTATCTATCACAAGGAGCTGATTTTACTTCCTATTTTGTCATTCAGTGTGAAACTTTTTAGAAAGCAACTATTGAATAGTATCATGATACCAGATGGGCTGGGGAGAATTATTGAAGTAGACTTATTTTTTTTTTTTGATAAGTAAGATTTTATTAAAAACGCTCAAAAAAAGGGAGTGAAGCCCAAAACACAAAAGGAACAAAAGGGCCAAAGGGCTCCTTAGACCTTCAGATAGGCCAAAAAAACAATAATTTCCTCCATAGATCTATAATTTCTCCCTGAAACCCAACAAAAAAGAGTAGAAATAATAGAGAACTTAAGCATAGAAACAGGCTTCTTTTTTTCGTCAAAATATCTCCTATTTCTCTCAAGCCAAATACACCATCAAATACAAAGCGGTGTAGCCCTCCAAGCATCCCTATTGCCAGCCTTAACAGAGATGCCTCTCCAAGCCTCAATCAACCCTCTAGAGGAAAAAGGCATGGCCCAATGTACTCCAAATAAACGAAGCATCAAATCCCAACAATCTCTGGCCATGCTGCAATGTAAAAGGAGGTGATCAACAGTCTCCTCATTACACAAACACATGTAACAGTGATTAATCACCACCTGATTCCTCCTCCTCAGATTATCCTGGGTTAAAATCTTACCCAGAACAGAGGTCCAAGCAAAAAAGGTGACCTTGCGGGGAGCCTTGGACCGCCAAATAGACTTCCAAGGGAAGGGATCTCCATGACCAACCGAAAGACATCTGAAAAAGGACCTAACCTCAAAACGGCCATGTGAGGTAGGAATCCAGAACCACCAATCCGATCCCCCAAAAGAAATCACCTGGCTATACAACAGATCCAGAAAACGAGAAACATCCTCGATCTCCCAATCTTGAAAATGTCTCCTGAACTGAACATCCCAAGACAGTCTCTCGTTATCAAAATGATAACAGTCAACAACCATGGCTTGTCAATGAGAAGCAATCCTGTAAAGCCGAGGGAACGCGAGAGCAAGAGGGAGATCCCCAGACCAGAGATCCATCCAAAAACTGATCCTCCTTCCATCTTTAATACAAAAACGAACATGCTTGCAGAAATCATCCCAACCCCTCCGAATGAAATACCAAACTCCCACCCCCCTTAGACCACGCAACTCCAGGGAGCACCACCCACCACGACTTTCCCTAAATTTGCTAGCAAAAAAATTTGGACCATTTCTCGATTTGTGCGTGTCATCCTTGCGCAGGGGCCATTATTTCATGGCAGTTAATGGTAAATATTTCATTGTGCAAATGTCCTGATAGCTTGCTAGTTTGATGTATTATCTATTTCACTTTATTGAACTTTACATGATTTAATTCTGGTGTCTGTTTGCTAGCAAATATAAGATTTAGAGGGGAATATTTGGCATTATTAGTTTTGAATATGGGTACTGGTCTGAAAATGGCTTGAATCATTAGTTGGGTCGGTTGAAATAATAAATTTATGCAATAGATCCGGAACATTTTTAAATAAAACCACGAATATGAATAAGAAAAAAAGTATACCATCCATTGGTATGTTTTCATTTAGTATTCTAACATCATTCAAGGGGTACCCAAATGAAGTGCTTGATTGTTCAATTATTAGAAACTTGCAATTCTTGTCTTTTATTAACTCCATGCGTGTTTCTCAATTGAACACAATTTTATGATGTGTAGAATGTTTTGAACAACCCACAAAACCCAACTAGAAGAAAGTGTTATTTCTTAATTATCTGCGGGAAATGTACAATACTTTGTTAAACTAATTTTGATGCTATAGCTTTTTATTAGATCATGGCCATCATTTTATTTATTTATTTTTATTTTTTATCTATGCTTTAAGCTACTTTCTCTTTGCCCTGCCTCTTGTCCTTTTAACGCCCTCATTTTTGGCTGGGTTTTGTCGGTTAATGTTGTCATTGAGCCTTTTCTTTTTCTTTTCCTTTTTTTTGGGGGTGGGGGGTGATGGGGAAGATTTAAGAACAAAAAAATGTGGTTATCATTTAAAACGAACCAAGTTACTCGTGATCGACTTAGTTGAGGTTCGTTTGAGATGTCATTAGATCAACGAGTCAAACTTGTATCACATTTGGAGATTGACTAAAATTGTTGATCGTGGCCTCAACTTTGGTTTGTGATCCCACTAGACAAAGCAATTGAGGATCGCAAGAACCTAAACAGAAATGGAGAGCGGGGACTAGAGGGAAAATTTTGGTGGACTGTTTCCTCGATGGCCACAAAAGGTTTTGCAAACAAGTACTTCTATTACATGTGGCATCAACTCATGGAAATAACCTGCCACCTCAGGTAGCTAATGAGTAGAAGACTAGAAGTGTGGTGCATATATAGAGGGATGAACTCCTTAATTTTTCCCTCTAGTTCCGTTGTAGGACAAAAAGGCATGGGCATACATATAATACCACTGTATTGTTTACTGTTCTAGAGCTCAGTTAAGTCTCTTTGTCATCATCATCCTCTCCTTGATCCCATTTGAATGGGGTTGCTCAAGTTAGCAGGTATAAATGGGTTTGCATGGGATAGGATGCCTCAAAACAGACCTACCCTGAGCCTGAGCTCAATTTTGGTCGGCCAGATCCCATACTAGTCGATACACTGTTACCATCATCCCATGCCCGTCCCAAAAGGCAGGGTGTGTTACCAGATTTATTAGATAGATCACCATCATTATTTGCTGTACATAATACTATCATAGAATCTTCAATTGGTGCAGCCTTGGTTTTGTGTTTTCATTTGGCTTATCGGTATTATCTTCTTTTTCATTAAAAAATGATCCCTATAAGTTGTGATTTTTAGATCTTGATTACTAATGGTGTACCAGAGAACTTCATGTCTATGTAACAATGAGAATCAGGTTACATGCTGCACTGAACCAAAATTAAATACAATTTATGATTCTTCCACATGTGGTACTTCGAATTTTCTTGAGATTGCATTGGTGTTACCATACCGTAGTAAATGTTATTGTTGATACGCTCAGCTCTATGGTTTTCTTAATGAAGTGAATTTTGTTGTGAAGATAGATGACAGGGATGAATTATCTTACCTTTTTACTGTCTTATTTAAATAGTCAACACATTTGGAGTTCCATGGCTTAAGATAGTTCTTATTTGATTTTTTAGGGAACCGCGAGGCTTTGGGTTTGTGAAGTTCCGTTATCCAGAAGATGCAGCTGAAGCAAAGGAACAATTGAACTATACAGTTATTGGTGGACGTGAGATAAGAATTGTTTTTGCCGAGGAAAACAGAAAAACTCCTCACGAAATGCGTAGACATGCACGCACAAGGTTAATAGCATTTAATTTGTTGTTATTTTGCACTTTTGGCAAATCCTTTTCTACATCTTTTTCCCTTACCTTTTATTTTAATTTAATAATTTATTTTCTGTTTGAGAATTCTTTTAATTCCTTAAGCTGCGGATAATTGTTTCTGTTTCCTTTTTATGTATAGTGACCAGGGAAGCTATAGGAGGCGAACTCCACTGAGGTCCCCAAGACGCCGTTATCACTGTCAGTTCTTTTTTTTACACCTATAACTTAATTCATTCATTTGACATTTCTAACAAAATTTTATTTGTGTGTCGGGCTATGTGCTACTAATTTACCCTGCTAAATTATTGTAATATTTTCTATGACTGCAGCTTCCTCACGCACACCTTCTCCAGCAAGGAGTGAGTTAAGGTCTGGTTTCGTAACTGTGAAACAGTTTTAGTTGCCTTGCATGGTTTGGGATTATTGTAACTTTCATTTTGTATCCTTTGGAACCATACACATTCTATATGGACTTGGCTAGTTCAATATTCAGTTATAAGTTGTGTCTCTCTAAATTAAAATTTAGATCCTGTTTTAAGTATTAGCCACTTGTCCATTACCAAAAGCACTTGGAGAAACCATTGAAGCTTTTCAGTTTTCAGCACTTAACGGGTTATTGATGTTGAAAGGCTTCACGAACTTGGGTTTCTGAAGGTTTTGGAATTAGCTTGATTTTCAAAGTGACATGTTGTTTACAGCCAGTGGATCGGAGAAAGAATTAGGGTTAATTAGTGGTAGATATGGTCTGTTTTTTAGTTGTTTCATTTAATGTATCTTTCTATAATATTCAGGTTGTCTCTTTTTTTTCTTTATTCTTCTCTCCTCCTGTGTCTCTGTTCGTGTATGTGTATTTCTGTGATTCTTACCTTCTTTCATTTGCAGTTGTTATTTTAAGTTATTTTAAACAGTGAACCTTTTTTCCAATCTTGATTTATAATATTAGGATAACAAGACTCTATCTTGGATTGGTGACACCAAAATTTAGTTAGAACTCCTATTAGTAGCTCTAAGTGTTTTTTTCTTTTTAATATGGGTTTATACCGTTTTCCCACAATTCCCTTGCTCCTATTTTTGTAAGGTCCATAAAAATCCAAGCATCATACCTAGAGGACACGTGGGGCTCGAACCGCTCACCTCCTCTTTGGGGAGGAGAGGTCACCTCCTGGGCCAATGACCCGGTTCTCTGTTGCTGTGATTTTTCCTGTGCACAAATGTTGTTCTCTTAATTTTATTATTACATGTTCGAGTGGATTTGAATGACATTTGCTGGTGGCCTTGTTCATGCAGATTCTAAGTGAAAAAGAGAGACTTAAAGAATTCAGGGTTAAGAAAGACAAAGAGAAAAGAGATCATAAAGTCACAGACTGCTTGCTTTCCTTTTCATCAAAGCCTCTTCAGAAGTTGCATTATTAATTTCACCTTCATCAACTTTAACCTAAATTGCATGGGCTTTCCTATTTTATGCCTTTGACTTGTAGAGCTCCTATCCTCTAATGAAAACAACTAAGTATATATGGTGCGTGAAATGATTGCAATCACACGAGAACTTCATTTTTCTTTCTTAAGTTAAATGTAAATTTGATATCTTGATGTTGCATACTATCCAGTTAAAGAAAGAATTTAGAGCTAATAGTTGCCAAAGAAAGAATCAACTTCAAAGAAGGCAAGCCATTCAAAGTTTTTACCAGTAGAAGTATGATGAAATTCTCCAAGAAAAGATAGTATCTGGTTTTAAAAGTCGTGGCATGGAGAGCTGTGAAGTTTTCAGATGCTGATCAACCAACACATCATTATAAAGCCTTAAACAGTGTTTGGATCTAAGTTTCATATTTTTATGCGGAAACTCTGAAAGATGCAGGTAAAAGACATTTTTTCCCCTAGTAAAGGTCATATTTCAATCACTTGAATTTACGAGTGAGGGTGTAATTAAAAATTTTACAAAACACAGGATTATATATTTTCATGACTGTTGAAATTGGTTTGGTGGAGTATATAAAGTCTGATCAAGATTATCTTTGTGAATTAGATATTCTTTTATTTTGTATTCATATATTGTTGCTCTATGTCTGCACACTTGAAATTCAAAGTTATTCATGTGTTTGCTTTTCTTATTCACTGGGACAGGGAACGCAGATCAAGGGATGATTATTACTCTCCAAGACATTCTAGATCTTATTCCAGATCAATTTCTCCACAGGATGAAAGAAATTATAAGTTGAACCAAAGGTCCCCAAGGCGGTCGAGGTCTGTTTCGCGGTCCCTTTCTCCACGTGATGAGAGAAGTTACAGGTCTAACTACAGGTCACCAAGTCCGGGAGAGAATGGTCGGAGTCAGCATGACAAGAGAGATTATGAACCCAACAGGTCGCAGAGTCAGGGAGTAAACACTCTCCTAAGATCTCGATCCTACAGGTATGCACTGTTTTCATTTTTTAATTTTAATTCAATGAGAATAATTCTAAACAGCTTCTCTCGACCCAAAGTAAGGCCTAGATTATCTTTACTGATGTCCCCAAAAAAAAATAATAATAATAATCTCTTTACTGAGACCTTGATTTTACATCGTGTGGCAGTTTAGAAATTATAATCCTTGTTCTAAAGGTCCTGCTGCATATGGTTTTGAAAGGCTTTTGGGGCAAACACAAAAGATATGTGGCTTAAGCAAAATACATGCAGACTGAATATTAACGAGTCCTATGCTTCAGGGCCATCATCAGGCTTCTCTGTCTGAATTTCCGAGGATTTTAGCAACAAATTGCACCAATAATAATAAGTTTTGAGTTTATGACATTAGTTTTCTATTTTGTTTGACATCTTATGAATTTACCTATGTTTTTATTTTCGCTATTCTTTTTATTTTCTTAATCTCCAAAATTCTCTAATTTTATATGGTGATATTTATTACTAGTACTTATTCCTTGTGATTTGAGGTTTATGCCTTCACCTTGGGGCAAATTCCTTTTACCTTCAAAACTACCAGTCTTTAGACTGAAAAAATGAAAAAGTAAGAGGTTCCATCAAGGTGGTATCATGGGAATCACCATCCTTGGGTAGCATCTCACTGCTCGATAGGTGGAACTTATTTTGGCTTGCCCTTTTTCTATTCTTCATCCGTTGAATAGAGCTTCTTATCCAGTTTATTAATTGTTTTTTCTTGCAGTCCTCGCTGATGGTTGTTCAAGCTATGTTGCTGCCCTTTGGCGCTGTTCATGTGATGTTGCTATCCTATGGGTCTGGTTGTGGTTCCTTTACAAAGCTTAAAGCTAGACAAACTGTATATTTTGATATTTTCAAAAAGATGTTTGGGTTATATACTGTTTATAAGGAATTTAATCAAGTTTCCATTGTTTTTTAGGAACATCCTAATTGGAGTTTTAACATTTTTTCATTTGCTGAGACCGGAAGCACGATTGTGGGGACAAACTGAGCACTATAAATTGAGACATGATTTTGCTGTATTTCACTCCATTCCTCAATTTGAATTGAGCCCCAGTTTTATTTCAATTTTTTTTAATTGCGTAGAATTGGCATGACTAGAGAATAACTCCCATTGATAATGCAGTAAATACCATTAAATAAATATCTCCAACAGAAAGGATTTGCTATACAAAATAATTAAATAAATGACCCACAGCTAAAGAAAGCCATCAGTTCTTTTGGCTGTTTTCATGCTAAAGAAATTTACACAAGCTTAATTCGGTCTCCAAGTAGTATTGCTAATGGGTCCCCTTGTATAGCAAAACCACGCTAGTATTACTTTTTTATAAAATGGTAGCTTACCTTCACCAAAGGTCGAGTTCCAACGCGAGGGTGAGTTTTTTTTGTAAAAAAATTTCCATACACCATGATATCTATTGCATATACCAAACAAATGCACCAACATGGAAGCAGAATTTATCAATAATTCTGATACGAACAGAGGTAGCATTGTCTTGCCGCTAAAAAGCATCTCTCAACAACAATTTCTACCATACCGAAGATGGCATTCGAAAACCAGGAGACGCTACAATTTGACATGCACGCAACAGTAGAAACTGCTCATTGCATACTGGCGTAAATTATTAAGGGCATGAGATTTCTGGTATCATTTGCCAATCACTCCAAAGGGCATGCTTTCTCAAACTCTGCTTGCTCTTTGCGACACAAGTCAAACTCATTTGTATAATAGTACATACAACCGGCGTAAGCATCCATCTCTTTTGTGCACCTCTGGTGCAGATCTTTCAGCCTGCAGAGCCAAGTATCATGCAATTTAGGAACACTTTCGGACATCATGTACTTTTTTGTAAGTACATCATTATTTTTCTGTAATAACAAACTTTGCAAATTTCTTATCATTTAATCACCCAGAGAAGTTCAAAATTATTACAAGAAAAGCCAAAGTTTAACTTCTGTCCATGGAGAGAGAGAGAGAGAGAGAGAGATGATGTCTTTAGGAGAGGCAACAAAGAAAGGTATGCTCAATGAGGTATGAACCCTCTCTGACTTCATAAATGGACGCCCCCATTACCACCCGTTCTTAGTTCCTTGCCCCAACACTGCACATGTCTTCTGTTTCTCACTCTCTTCCCATAAATACCTCTCTACCGAGTCAACACTTCCCCACCATTTCTCTCTCTCTCTCTCTCTCACGCGCACACACACAGATACCACAAGTTCTCTAAAAATCAATTGTATGTCATAATGGGAGGCAAATTTTGATAAAAAGAAATACTTATTATATATATATATATATATATATATATAATAAAAAGAAATCAGTGCAATTAATAGCTACCTGGTTCGTTATGCATGGAAAGGAATTAAACTCTCTGCTGCCTCAACCAAACCAGGAGAATGTCTAATCCTTTTTGAATCTATCACTTAGAGATTTAGGGTATAGGGTTATGTCAAATGCGCACTTTGACCTTTTAGGCGTCTGAATCAAGAGTGTAACAACTAACACCTATATTTTTCCTTAAGCTGAACCCCAAAACTTGATGAGAATAAAGCTTCAACTTGATTTAACTAACAAGAAGGCCTAGATTGAGAGAGAATTAGGTTTATATTCAATGGAAAATGCAATCAATTGGTCTTGGATTACTTAGGCTTTGTTCCATATTGAAATTCAAGCCAAATTCACTAAGGCTTTAATTGAGTAAACTTATCGCAAATTGGTGACAAAAATCATCATCGGGAAGGAAAAGAGCTAGTAAAATACTGTAAATCTTCCATCTGAAGGAAAATAGCGGGTCTAATTCCAAAATTGTAGCCTTGAAGAGCCAACGGATCAAAATCCAAGAACTGTTATTCATGTACCAATACAAAGATCAGAAGTAAAAATGATAGTGTTAACAATGGGTTTTTCATCATATTGGCTATAATTGCGTTATCTTTGACGACCAATTTTCTTTTCAAGTTTTCCCTTTCTTCATTATATTGATGTATTTATAAATCAAATACTAAGATGTTACATTAAAAAATGGACAAAACATCAAAACAACAAGTCTTAATAACAGTCAGCAATCAGCATGGTAAATAATTGAAGCCTTTCATAATTCTGCAGCTACACAACATTTATTTTAAGACTTGTCCTATTTACTACTTTATTTTTAAGGTAGACAACCTTCAATTTAGTGTCATGATCAAAGTAAAAAAAAAAAAGCTCAGTAACAATATAATCGCATGAATGAAAAAAATTAATGTGAATGATTTTCTAATAAATGGGAGACGGGGTTGTCACACAATGATACAGTTTAATCCGAAAGAATCAAAATTTGTTTCAAATGAACAATAAACAAGGCAAGAATAATGAAAAGAAGCTCAGCTCACCAAAAATGTCAGTCTCATCTGCTGATGAATCAAGTAATAAGTCGTACAAACACGATACATTGACCATTTGTACAACTGAGTCTATATCAGTTTTGTTTTCATTATAAGAAATTCGAGTCCCTCTCAATTCAGAACCGGAAATCACCCTAACTTATTCAGGAACTAAATTGCTAGCATTTTGAAGTACTTATTTTGTTTTTCAGAGCAAATTTTACTCCATCTCTCTCTTAAAGTAAAGTACTCACAAAATGGAAATCAAACAGTACTAAGAAATGTTGAGATGCTGTTTTATGATTAATCTTTTGGATACCAAGTAAGAAATTAATAATCCAGCAAAGATAAAATACTTCAGGAACGAAGCCTAACTTCTTTGTGATAAATTACAAACTCAGATGGGAGTCCTTTCAAAAACAAGGTCAAGTGGTAACTTGGCCACATTTGGCTGGTATGCTAAATTAATTCCCAGGCATTGTTTCATTCTGAATTGCAATAAGGGAAAGGTTGATTACTCAAGATATGCTCCTCAAATATGGTTCTATTAGAACCAGTAGTTCTGTATATTGCAGACTTTGATTGAAGATCACAACCATCAAATTTCCAGCTGCAAATTAATAAATCGGGTAAAGATGCTAGTAACCCTGAGGACTGGTTTATTATGGCCTCGCAGTTCTCAGCAAGGTACTAAATCCAATGCAAAATAAATATAAAAGGTAAAGCTTTAGTGCTTTGCAGAATTTCTTATGTCAACTATTGCTAGAAGACACTATTTACCAGATTCGGAAGGAGAGAAACAGTATGATATTAAAATATTCCTATCAACCATCTCCCTGAGATTACTTCTATTGTTCAGCACAGATTCGCTTCTCTGCAGTGTGGTAAGACATCTCAATCAAATAAACGGATCAAATAGTAAAGGAATCTACCCGGCTATAATTCTTTGTTCCTGGATGCTTTAGAAACTGCAGTCTAATATTGTAATGTGGGCTAGCTTTTGAGTTGCACTGCTATTTCCTTAGACGAGTCTACTGATCCTAATCTGGAAACATTGCCATTTGGTGGTATGTATGTATAAATTCTAGGTCTATACTGTTTTTCACTTTTTTGCTAAGGGGATGCCTTTTTTTACTTATAAGATGCATGATAATGCTTTGCAGTGTGTTAATTGAATGAGGAGATATTGCAAACTCAAATTGTCAAACATAACAAATAAGTAGATAAATAAAATAAGGAAAACAAGGCTTCAACTTTCCAGAATTATTGCAATGCCATTTCAGAAAAAAAAAAAAAACACACACACATACACACAAAAAAAATCAGCTTTACATATAGTCAACTCAACCATTGTCAGACCAAGAAATTCATCATCTTTACACTAAACCTGGACAAATTTCAACCTGAAAAACTGAATTTAACTCACACGCTACCTTAACTAAAAGCAAAATCAAATTCAGAGAATAAAAACCCTAAATTCCTAATGCCATTGAGATAAATATCTCATGAATTAAAAAACCTGCACAATGTTCAACCTGAAAAACTGAATTCAATTCATTTAAAACCTAAATTTCTACCACTAGTGAGCTGCATTAATGTCTCGTGAAGAATAAAAAGCAATACTTACAAGCTAAGAACGCAGCTAGTGACTTGGCGGCCTTTGTCGAGGCATTTCTCAGGGTTAGGATCGTCTTTCTTGCATTTGAGGAACGCCAAGTTTTCGTTTCTGCATTTCGTCGCTATGTGCTTCGACACCGCCATCAATACCGCCGATGTGGGGATCGGATCTCCTTCGGGGCTCACAGTGCTCGCCATTTCCAAGTCTGATGGATCCAATAGCCTCTGATCAATCCAAAATAAGAAATGAAAATTTCAGTGAACAATTGGAATCTGTTTGGTTGCTGAGAAAATACAAGGAAAAAAAATGAAAATTGGGACTCTTTAAGCTGGGCAATTCCTGGTTACTCAAGGTTTCTCGGCAACCACACAGAAAAGTAGCAGTGGTTAGTCATCTCAGTACCTTTTTTCCTCTCAGTTGCTTTGGTTATTTCTCAAACTAGAGTTTAGCTAGGGCTCTTGATTGGAGTCTACTGAGCAGAGAAACGGTCAACGCTAACGTGCGCAGGGTGAACACGATACACTAGTATACCCATACCAACCAATTACCCAATGCAATGTAATAATTATGCGAATGTAACAACGATGTAAATGTATTAAATTCTACATTATGCGAATGTAACAACGATGTAAATGTATTAAATTCTTGATTTAATAATATTATAATATATAGTAATATATTTTATAAATGTTGGATATTTAGTATGAATGTGTTAAAATTTTATTTTAATAATATTATAATATGATGTAACACGATGTTGTATTTTTAATATAAATGTATTCCATAATTTTATAAAAGATGAGTAGATATAATTTCCTTCTGAGTAATACTTATTACATATCCTTTTGTTAATGAAAGAAAATGAAAAAGAGTGAAAATCTTTGTACTTTTTCCATTAAATTGCTGGGAGTCAAAACTTGAAATTTTTAACATTGGAATATTCATTTTTTGAAAATAAAAATACAATAGAAAAATAATGAGACACTTTCTTCCATAGTCATTTCATTTATATTATAATCTATCCCTTCTTTATAATTAACTTTTTTCCCTATCATAAATAATTTTTTACAATTAACTTTTTTTCCCTATCATAGGATAATTGACGGGTTTAGAGTTGGGAGCCAACCTTTAACATTGCCCTTTTCGTTTAGCAAATTAACTCACATTTTAGCCGAGAACCCCTCATCATCACTTAAATGACAAAAGGGGAGCTCCTTTTCCATTATCATCTCTGTTTAGCAAAACAACTCACATTTTTATCCAAAATTATTTAGCATAGAACCCTTCTTCCTCACGGGTCTTGTTTAAATTTCCCCCACACCCGTCCCCTCACTTTGTAAATCCATCCTTGTATTCTAGTAGTGTCGCTCAACTAGTTGTTACCATGACACTACAATCAATAGGACTTAACTTTTAGTTAATCCAATTCTTAATCCAGAGTAGGTAGGTTTTGGTATTTTTAAACCAAACCGTCCCTAGTATACTACCGTCCTATACCGGTGTATATTATCCAATCATCCAGCAGTTGATAAAACATATACTTAAGGTAAATATCAACTAAATCCATACTTCCAACAATTGCTACTAATAGTGTTAATGAAAGCATCAAAACAGAATTACAATATATTCATAAACATACTCAATTTGTAGTGTTTCATAACATCCGGTGCAAAGCTAAGTTTAAATCTTTGTAGCATTCAACATCCAGCAGTTGGTATTACAATCAATTAAGGTAAACATCAACCAAGTTCATGGACAAATTCACCGATGAGTCTATCATCAATTCATTCCACATTTGAGTTTGGATAGTATGCGTCTAGGACTCAAAAATATTTTGGTAAGACGTAGGGTGCTAAATTGAGCACGATGTGAACACAGCCACGGTAGCAAAAAGGGTCAATCTTTCAAAAAAAAAAAAAAAAAAAAAAAAAAGGGTCAATCAAAGCACTAGGAAATTGGAATGGAAAGGGACACACATTATCTATCAATTTAGCATACATATTGCTATCCGTTTGTGATTTCTCATGACGTGGCCCAATCAGAAAACGCCTACCCAGAAAATCCAATAACGCTGGTTCTGTACAGACCGACCATAAATGCACCAGCAAAAGCACAAGTCCTCTCAAGAGTCCACCAAATTGGTCACTCAATAATGCCCATTATCTCCACACTCATCGCCTTGCATCTCTCTCTCTCTTTTCTCTCTCTCTCTCTATATATATTTGTATATGTATGTGTGAATGTTATTACAAGTCTAAGGCCACCAAAAACAGTCTTTTACTGGCAATTGAAGTGGGAAAACAGGCCTCTCCTTCTCTCTAGAAGTCCTTTTTTTATTTTTCTATCTCTAAAGCAAGGATTTTAAAGTTGATTGAAGGATTTGTGGGTTATTTTTCTTTGAATCTGTTATCAATCGAGCGGGTTGTGAAGTTCACTCTACAGTTGTAGACATATCTGTGATGGCGCTCTCTACATTTTCATTTCCTGGGCATTTTAACCGGGCAGTAACTTCAGATAATCAAAAGCACAGTTCAATCTCTCCTCATGTGTTCTGGGGAACAGATCTGCTTTGTCAATTCCATCAGAAGCACAATCAGGTTTGGATTGTACGTATCTTTAAAAACACGACACTCTTTTAAAGCTTACCCATTTTGCTGCTTGTAAGAACTGAATTTTTTTTGGGGTCAATTTATCCTTCATTTGTTGAGATTTTGAGTAATTTTTTCTTCTTTGTTCTTACAAGAAGCTCAATCAGAATCAAATGGGTTTTTGTCAATTTTCCCTTTTTTTTGTTTTTTTGTTTGGAGATTGAGTCATGTTATGTATATCTTGAGGAAGGAGGTTTTTTTCGTCAATTCATCCTTCCGTTGTTGAGTTTGTTTGTTTGTTTTTTTTGTTTTTTCAAGAAGCTCAATCAGGTTTTGAATATCAATATGTCAACTGGGTTTTGGTCAATTTTCCTTTTCTTTTTCTTTTTTTCGAGTTTTATTTTTTTTTTATTTGTTTGTTTTGTAGTTGTTCTTGCAAAAAGCTCAATCAGGTTTGGAATATCAATATGCCAACTGATTCTCGGTCAATTATTTATTTTTATTTTGGAGATTGAGTCGTGTTATATCGAGGAAGGATCCAAGTACATAAATGATGTATTTATGTGTGTGTTTGTGTATGTATGCTTATGTATTTATTCATGTGGTGCTGATTTTATTTTTAATTGTCAGTTCAAGATAAAAATAATTAAAATAGACTCTTGTTTTTGTACTGATTTGGTGCACAGGTCAAGAAAAGGCCTGGTGGGGTTTGGGCATCACTGTCAGAGAGAGGGCAGTATTACTCACAAAGACCAGCCACTCCTCTCTTGGACACTATCAACTATCCAATTCACATGAAAAATCTGTCTGTGAAGGTATATAACTATCCAAAGCAAATTTATACAAGTTTATTTTATTTACCCAAAAAAAAAGAGAATAATTTATACAAGTTATATACTTAAATAATGAATGATGAAAACTCTGTCTGTCAAGGTACATGACCATTGAAAGCATATTTATACATTTATATAGTTAAATAATGGATACCTATATAATATATATCTGCATATGGAACCTTTAATTTAGTGCCAACCTTTGATGCAGGAATTGCAACAACTTGCAGATGAGTTACGTTCTGATGTCATCTTCAATGTCTCGAAGACTGGGGGTCACCTTGGTTCGAGCCTTGGCGTTGTGGAGCTCACGGTGGCTCTTCATTACGTCTTCAATTGTCCTCAAGACAGGATACTTTGGGATGTTGGTCATCAGGTGACAGTCTTTTCTTTATATTCTCCTTACTAGCAAAAACAAGGAATACTATAAGCAGAGTTGTCCTTAATTTGATGATACCAATATATATTGGGCAGTCATACCCACACAAGATATTGACTGGGAGAAGAGATAAAATGCACACAATGAGACAGACAAATGGGCTGTCAGGATTCACTAAGCGCTCGGAGAGTGAGTATGATTGCTTTGGCACGGGTCATAGTTCAACCAGTATCTCAGCAGGCTTAGGTAATTTGCTGTTTTACCATAGATTAATATTGATTTGAAATTAGATTTATAATACTAAATAAGTTAGACTTATTTGTCATCTCCAATATTCTAAACTCTTAGCTATTAATTACTCAGCTTAAGATCTTTTTTAGTGCTGTAGAATAGCATATCTTCCAAATTCAAAATGCTTCCCACTACCATTCTTTTTTCTTTCTCCCTGAGAAAAGAAAAGCTTGATACTTTGTTGATAACAAATTTTTGACTTTTGTCCAAGGAATAGTGTTTATGTTTTATATTCCAGTACATAGTTGTTAAAGGTGTGCCTAGGCTCCAAAAAAGCCCTAGGCTGTCAACCCTCAGGCTCGTGCCTTTTATTTTTTTAATGATTTCTTCTTATCAATTTTCTTTTATTTTTATAAAATGACATGACTACTAAAGTAGAATGTTTTATATCATATCCCGATCATATTTAATGGATAATATTTTTCAATGTTATAAAATATTTGACAAAATCCATTATTTATGGTTCACTACTTCCATTAATTACATTTAGGGCTTGATTATGAATTTTTATGATAATATTATGATCACACACGTGCCGTATTTCGATTGGACTCACGCCATGCAGAGGTAAGGCTATGTACATCTAATCCTCCCCAAACACCCCAAACCTCATAATGGTAGGAGCCTCATGCACTGGGCTAGCCCTTCTTCTTTTTTTAATGCTTTGTTTATTTTATATTATGCCATGTCTGTCCTTCAATGGTATTTCACATTAACATCACTATTATGACGATTCTCCTTTTTTTTCTGAAATATATTTTTTTTCTTTATCCAAGTTAAGAGCCCATGTTGAATTCATCTTCTAAGTTTTCTCTGTGCTATGTGTTCAATGGACAGGGATGGCAGTAGGAAGGGATCTCAAAGGAAGAAAAAACCATGTAGTGTCTGTTATAGGTGATGGTGCCATGACAGCAGGTCAAGCTTATGAAGCAATGAACAATGCGGGGTACCTTGATTCCGACATGATTGTTATTCTTAATGACAACAAACAGGTCTCTTTACCCACTGCTACTTTAGATGGGCCCATACCACCTGTGGGAGCTCTGAGCAGTGCTCTAAGTAGATTGCAATCAAACAGACCTCTCAGGGAACTAAGAGAAGTTGCAAAGGTTAGTAGTCCTTCACTAGAGTAAGAACAGGGAAGCCACTTTGATCCTAAAACCATTTTAAATTGAGGCACTTGAGATTGTTTCAGGGAGTTACCAAACAAATTGGTGGGCCTATGCATGAATTGGCTGCCAAAGTTGATGAATATGCTCGTGGGATGATCAGTGGTTCTGGATCAACGCTGTTCGAGGAACTTGGACTCTACTATATTGGTCCCGTTGATGGTCACAACATAAATGATCTTATTGCCATTCTCAAGGAGGTTAAGAGCACCAAAACAACCGGTCCTGTCCTGATTCATGTAGTCACTGAGAAAGGCCGTGGATATCCATATGCAGAGAAAGCTGCAGACAAGTACCATGGTAAATATGGAATGTTAGAAAATGAATTACGATTAATATTTTTCCTTTCCTTTTTTCTTTTTCTTGTATAAAGTTCTATATTTCCCAAATCGTGTAATAAGATAATTTTAATGCATGTTATAAATGAAAAGAATTATTAAACAAATATCTAATCAATCATAAATAATAGTCAAACCATGTAATGCCTTCATTTACATGACAAATGAAGGTTCAATAATTTATTTCTTGTGATCTAACATTGAAAGTCATGGCACTAACTGGAAGTACATGTTTCCTTTTGAACATGAATGTACCCTTGGATGATGTTATGATATTTTTTCAGTACAGGTATGTCTAAAATTAATTTTGCTTAAACAATTTCAAGGACGATCAAAATGGAACTTATTTTATGTATTGTGAATTATATGCATCTTATCAAGTATGATATGTTTATTGCCAGACACATCCAATTTGGTGCACGTATTAGAAATACATATCGACATACCTCTAAAACCTACAAAATTTTGTGTTTTATATCATGAAATGTGAGATACTAACAACTATGATCTTTTGTGAGAAATAGAGTGAAGTAGTTAATTATGCTTTGATTTTGTTTTTCAGGAGTGGCCAAGTTTGATCCTGCAACTGGAAAGCAATTCAAAGCCAGTGCTAAAACTCAATCTTACACAACTTACTTTGCCGAGGCTTTGATTGCAGAAGCAGAAGCAGACAAAGATGTAGTTGCCATCCATGCTGCGATGGGTGGTGGAACAGGCTTAAATCTTTTCCTTCGCCGCTTTCCTACTCGATGTTTTGATGTTGGGATAGCAGAACAGCATGCTGTTACTTTTGCTGCAGGACTGGCCTGTGAAGGCTTAAAACCCTTCTGTGCAATATACTCATCATTCATGCAAAGGGCTTATGACCAGGCAAACCAACTGCATTTTCCACCTATTTTTAATTTAGCAGATATAGATAGAATATTTTAATACCATATTAGTATAAAATCATGTTAAACTGTAGCTGGATTCTCTTATGAACATGATGTTGGTTTATACTGCAGGTAGTACATGATGTGGATTTGCAGAAGCTTCCAGTGAGATTTGCAATGGACAGAGCTGGTCTTGTTGGAGCAGATGGTCCAACACATTGTGGATCTTTCGATGTCACTTTTATGGCATGCCTCCCAAACATGGTAGTGATGGCTCCTTCCGATGAGGCGGAGCTTTTTCACATGGTTGCAACTGCTGCTGCCATAGATGACAGGCCCAGTTGTTTCCGGTACCCGAGAGGAAATGGGGTGGGTGTACAGCTGCCACCAGGAAACAAAGGCATTCCTCTTGAGGTATGGTTCAACTGACCCTCCACTTTCCATTCCCCTGGTTAAAGAAAATCATAAAAAGTTTGAACAAAATTTGACTTAGTATATGGTTTGAAACATTGCAACAGGTTGGAAAAGGCCGGATATTAATTGAAGGGGAAAGAGTGGCACTCTTGGGCTACGGAGCAGCAGTTCAGAGCTGTCTGGCTGCAGCCTCCTTGGTGGAATCCCATGGTTTACAATTAACAGTTGCAGATGCGCGCTTCTGCAAACCATTGGATCATGCTCTTATTCGCAGCCTAGCAAAATCACATGAGGTTTTGGTTACAGTAGAAGAAGGATCAATTGGGGGATTTGGTTCTCATGTTGCTCAGTTCATGGCCCTTGATGGTCTTCTTGATGGAACAACAAAGGTATGAATTAAATTAAGCTTTTAATTTATGGCTTGTTATGGTTGGTACACCAAGTTTGAGATTGCTTCAATTTCTATGTTGACTTGAAATTGGTAAGACTTTAAAATGGAATGTTCTTGAGGTGTTAAAACTTGCTCTGAATGACGTGTACCTAAAATGCAAGGTGATCATATACTTGAGTGTGTTTGAGGAATCGATGATCTATTATTTATTTATTTTCTTGTGTTATTGCAACAAAGCTAACACTCTGCTTCAGAATACTTATTTTGTGTGCTTGAAAATCCTTTGCAGTGGAGACCAGTGGTTCTTCCTGATCAGTACATTGACCATGGATCACCGGCTGACCAAATTGCCCAAGCCGGTCTTACACCAGCTCATATTGCAGCAACTATATTCAATATACTTGGACAAACAAGAGAAGCTCTTGAGATCATGTCATAGAAAAGATGCCAGGTTTTCATCTCTCTCTACATTGTACAAATATGTTAACTGAAAGAATTTACTCTTTCCTTGTGTAAAAAAGTATTGTTGATATTAACCCAGTGTAGTTAAATAACTTAAATCCGAGGTATCAACCCGCAGCACCAATTTGCTGAAAGATACTGAGGATCTCTTGCTGCTTAAACATGTGAAAGAATTACATAGAATCTTTGTAACTGTTAGCTGGTCAAATCATTCTTAAGGTTAAATATATTGGCAATCAAATTCTGCTTTTCTTTAGTTTGACATTAATTGATGATTATACTAACACAGCTTTATATAACATAAACATTCAGTTGATTAAACAGAAAAGATGTCTGGAATTTTCAATTTTTTTGAGTTAAAACAAATTAAAATGAAGAAAGTGGAAACCTTCCAATTTAGTGGCAAGAATTGTCTGGTCTGAATGTGAATTTTACCGGCGTAATTAGGTGGTGCTTGACTACAGGATCGGCCCAAATCATATAAAGCATCAGATGCATTGGTGCAAAATCAATTGGACTTGTATCTATATGGATTGAAGGAATTGAAATGTAGATGAAGGAAAGAAAAATGGATGCAAGAAATCATTTAGACACAAAGTTCAAAGGGTACAATAGCAAAGATCTTTACATGATACATAATGCAATAAAATTCTTGTTGATGGATCCTTCTACAATGAGAAACTTGGATTAGGACTATAAATATATAGATTTGTGCCAAAGTTTCTACTTTTTTGTTGTCTTTTACATGGAAAATACTTGATGAGAAATGGTTTTCCTTCTACATGTGGGTTAGGTTATTTCCTACCTCTTATCTCCTTTTAAACACCCTATAAGGCCACAACTAGATATTGAAAGCCAATTTAAATCTTAAAAAACTTTCCACAACTACAGTTCATACCTAATTATCATACTGACTTTCTTTAATAATGACTTCTACATCAACAACAGTTCCACACACAGAGGAAAACTCTAATTTAGATTAGAGAAATATATATCCTGGCACGAAACGTACACGCCAAAACGTGCCCTTTTCACCACTTGAACCCTTGACTTTCAATTTTGGTCCATATCAATTTAAAGTCTATGAATGCAATCTTATTCTGATTGGGCAGAGTTGAGACTTGAGAGACCTCCAATTATAGAGAAAGACCATATGATGGAATTTTCTTGCAAAGAAACATAAATCATGTGGATTACTCACCCAAATTTACCTAAAAAAAACCATGGGGATTAAAAGGAGGCATATTTATGGTGTGTGGGTGGAGATTATGACAGAATCAAAAAGACACATTTAATATATCATATATGATATCATAAAAAAATGTATGTTCTCTAATTATATAAATTATGTGGCTTAAAAGGAGGCATACTGAATAGGGCCTCACATATTATATACATTTGAATTTTATTGATAGGTTTGAATGGTTAGAATTGAAGTTTATTGATAGAAAAGCTATCAAATCAAATAAAATTTGGTTATGCACCTAACAGCAATGGCCACCCATTGTATGCTATTTATTGATAAAAAGGCTATCAGTCTCTGCTTATTTGCCTACACATAATTGGATCATCTTTAGTTAGAAGATAGTGTCCAACCAACACTACTAAATCCTCATACATGATGCTTATTAGTTACTCTCTTTTTGAAGTGATAAACACCTCATCAAACAACCTCCAATATCAATATGTTCTGTTTTTGTATCTTTCACAAGCTGTATATATATAAACTAAGTTGCAGAATCTTTTTTAACGGGTGTCACTCTCACATTTTGTAGGCGCTCTGACTCAAATTCTCATTATTTATGACTTAATTTTGCTACTCTCACACTCCCGCTCTCGGATTCACTCTCGCCCCCGCTTTATGTAACTTAAGTATATAAACACCATTTTTTTCTTAGTTGTAGGAAATTGTAAATTAATATTAACCGAGGGTACTATTTCTCCGGCAATCCAGAGTACTTCGATACATTAAAATGGTTTCCTCTCTATGCAAGAACAAAATCCATGCATTTCTGAAAAGAAATTCAATTTCTATCTGCATATTAATGTGCCAAATCCTAAATGGTGACATTCATAACCAAGTAATTGTGTTTGTATAAATTTGATAATTCGATCAGTTGCATGAATGTATTCAATTAATCTGCTTTCTATTACAATCAATTAACGTAGGACATTCAAAAATTGAACTTTGGCCTAGAGAAATTTGTTGCCTACATAATGGAACATGCGTTTGCATTCTCGTCACTAAACATGGTATACAGTACTTCACTGTCCCCCCAACAATCGATTAGCAATGGATCTGTGGCCAATGATAAATCCTTCTCCTTGCCCTCACCTTTTGATTCATTTTTATCGCCCACAATTTCCACTCTCTTCCCCGTCTTCTTCTTCAGTTTCTTCACAAACTTCTGTGGATTTATCCGACCCGTCACTACCACCTTGTGTTTCTTCATTTCAGTCGTAAACTTCTCCACCCCTTCATTTCATGATCATGAAATTAAAATTAATAGTATATGACAAACAAAATGCATGAATCAATTTTCTATTTATTTTTTATTTTTATTTTTTTGATCCATGCATATAGTATATAGTAATATATATATATATATAGTCTATATATATATAATATAGAGAGAGAGAAGGGGAACCTTTTATTTTGGAGATGGCTTTGGCAACCGTTCTTTCACATGCATTACAATGCATTGAAACTCTAAATTCCACCACCACAGCCTGTAAATAGTGACATGAGATGTAATTTTAATTATATGACGTAGTGAAAATCTTGGAAAAAGGCAAAATGAGAATCATATATATGAACATATATATATATATATATATCTCACTTTTTCTTCTTTATTTTTCTTCTTATTTGTCTTCGCTTCTTTATTTTTCTTCTTGTCTGCCATTGAAACTTGTAAAAACCAACGGCAATCTATTGAGATGCATTAAAAGACGCTTCAGAAGATTGGAGGGGTATTTTGGTAATTTCGACAAAGTTGGTTAAATCGAACGATGAATAAAACCACTACAAAACTACTATTTGAAAAGAGGTTAAATTCCACAATTGCCCCCTCACTGTCAAGAGCCAATGATAGTACATTAGAAATTAGCCGTATTCAAATTTTCGGTCAAACATATAACCACTTTTGTTTACCCTCTCGATAATAATGACAAAAATACTCATCCAGTGTATATAAGTTGCACTACAAACACATGCCTATAATGAATAAATCCTAAATCATTTTTTTTACTGAATTGTGTTTGAACCAAAATTGGACATTTTTCGATCTAAAATATTTTTTTTAAATATATTTTTAAGTAAAATAATTTTTATTTTTAAAAATATAAGTAAAAGAATCTATACATGTAAAATAATTTACAAAAACATGTGTCCATGGAGATTGAGGTTTTCAGGACAATCGCCGCTGTCCATGGTGATTCTGGATTTGTCGGGAAATTTTAAGAGTCGGAAACAGGTGATTGTACGAACGAGACTTCCCGTGGTGCGAAAAAAGCCGATCTGCGTCGTTCAGCAATTGGATTCAGAGATAGGGCAAACCTCCTCCACAAGTTTGATTTCATCCGTAACCAAATCCACCTCATCACAAGTTCGATTTCATCCTCAACCCTACCGCCACAACAACTCCACCACATCCATACACAAATTTGCCCCTTAGGAATGGATTTCAGATCTATTCCTTGTATTCTGGGCTTGGCTCTCTGACCGGCTCTGACCGATAATTACATATATGCGTGTATGCATCCTTCTCTGTGTGAAATTGATTGCTTTGGTTTTTTTTTTTTTTCTTTGGAAGTGTTGATGGCTGTACAGAGAGAAAGTGGGTGAGGGGTGTCGGGATGAGTTATCATGTTCTCATTAGTGCCTAAGATTACATCTTCCACATCATATACTATCAAGTGTACAAGTGCCAAAACTATGTCCTTTAAATAAGGGAAAAATTGTCTTTTGCATTTTTTTGATCAATCTAATTGCCGGATTATCCTTAACTGCAATAAATTAATTGTTCAGGGAATTTTTACATTTTACCATTATATATATATATAGGGATTTTTTTTTTTTTTTGGGGTCGAATTATGGAATAAATTATTTATACCTTTTTTTTTATGTATCCTTCTCATTTATGTATCTTTCATGCAGTATGTGCTGGGGGATTTCAATATTAAAATTTAAGAAGAACAAGCCCAATGCACTGAAGCTCGAATTTGGTTGATTTGCAACCTTAAATATACCTAGTTGTAAATTTTTATATTATTTAATTAATCTATTTTTATGGTTCAAATATTGTTATTCTTATTATTATTATTATTATTTTTGGATTTTTTTGAAAATATAAAATTTTTAAAAGACTATACAATAGGTTAACTTAACTTTGCCATTCAGCTTTTAGATGTAGGACAAAGCTTTCCATTTGGCAACTATCTTATCTTTTAAAACTTTGCCAAACTAAATATATCAATATGCAAATGAAAACATGCTTTAATCTTCGGAATAAGAGGTAAATGTATTAATATCGAAGCTAAAAGCTAATACACCTACTCAGTTCTACTTCTACCCTCACTTTGAGCATATGTGTTGACTAGAATTGAAAACTCCATCCCTTATATAACCATCTATTTCATATTGATGATTTAGTTATGTTACAATTAATGACTAAGATTTACTATTTAGAATTTTCTATCTAACTATATAGATATTTATAATATTTACAAAACTCTATACGCATCTATAATATTCTTTAATATACAAATTCTTACAAATTCTCTAATATTTTATAATCCTTCATCTCTCCACGATATTTCACAATTTTCTACACCAATTCCTCTTCAACACTTGCGCATTGTCAACCTACCTACAAATTGCCTACACGTGACACTAATAAAGTTTTTTTTTTTTTTTATAGGTAAAGGTGACACTAATAAAGTTGATTTGACACTTTCTTTTGTTTTTAATTTGCTCAACATATGCTCTATTGGCTACCAGCCTTACCAGGCATGATGGAACATCGAATATCGTTATTACAATGATAAAATATCTAAGTCAATGGATCAGTTGTGGACTTGTGGTTTGGTCTGATCATCTAAGTCCAAGAGGTAAGTACCATTTCACTTATGCTATAGTCGTGGTATGGAATTTGAAAATTTTTAGTTAACGGTTTAAACTATATATATATTTTTTTTTAATTCTATTTCAATAGCCTTAACAAAAATACTCATATCTAATCTATATATCTACACAGATCTTGCCATTTTCTCTCCCTATTGCAATTAGCACAAAAACACCCTTAAAATTTTGATTCTTTGATTATAAATAATTAATTATTATTATACATAAATTAAAATTTGAAAATTATATATATTTAATATCACTATTAAATTTATAATAAATTTACTAGCTTTAAAATTAAATATATACATAATGCACACATTGATACATTATTTACTGCCTCTTAAAATCATATATATTTAATATCAAATTTGGCATTACTACCACTGCCTCTCCAAACAGGACTTGTTTGAAAATAATTTTCTTTTCTTTGTTGGGTTACAATAAATGAGTAAATCTACCAATCTTTCTTTACCCATAGATCTCCCGAGTCTAAATGAAGGTGGATTTAATCTCATATTTCCGATACCACAATTTCTTGTAAGTTGTTAAACATGGCATGAAGGTTGTTAGACTATAAATTTTGTCATAGCAAACGTTGATTATTTGACTTTCGAACAACTTTAGATATCATCAATTTTATTTATGTTTTTTGAGATATTAGTTGCAAAAATTCATTGTAAATTCACTTTGAGTTTTAACTAATGAAACCACATAAATTTGTAAATAATAATAATTTTTTTTATAGATTAGAGTTTCCTCAAGTTTCATTTAATTTTATAAAGTGACACTATTTCATTATAGACCTAAAATTCAATTTGTTTAATATCACTATTGAAATCCAAGTGCAAGAAAAGTTAATGAACCATGTAATTCATGGAGGAGGGTTTTTTCATTGTATCAAAAAAAAATTAATTTTTCCAAAATTCATGATTAATATGTTAATCAATTGCAAGGTAAATAATTAAATGGTGTAAGTCTTGTTTTGAAACTCTATAATTCAAAGACCCAACTAGCACAGTTGAACTCTAACACAATTTACTTTATAAATATTAGGTAGCATAAAATAGAGACGACTAAGTAAAGAGAGTTGAAATCCTAATGTGCCTAGTATTTAGGGTTGACAATTTAAGTCCACTAAATTAAATTATTTGGGCATTCAAATTTAAGCAAGTGGGTCAATAATAGATAAAAAGTAAGTATTCATTCAATTCAAGAATTAATGATAGATTAAAAGTGATATCCAACTTAGTCCGCTCAAACAAAACTCTCTTTTCTCCATACTCAATAATATTCTCTCTTTTTTAGGTTTTTCTTTCTTTCTTCTCTTCTGTTCCCCCTTTTTCTCTCTCCTTCGTTATTTTTATCTTCCCTCTCTTCTGTTTCTTCTCTCTTTTTATTTTTCATTTTTTTCGCTTTTTTCTCTCTCCTCAACATTCACCCTCTTCCCATTCTCTCTCTTCTCTCATTTCTTCCCTTTTTTCTCCCTTACATTATCTCTCTCCTCTTTGTATTTTTTTTCATAAATTGCATTGATATCCTCTAAGGTTTCGATGAATGTCACTCAAATGCGAGTCAACAATTTTTTTAACAATGACACCCTCTATGATTTCAAATGCCATATTTGCCCTAATTATATAATTCCATTAATTTATAAAATATCAGTCCTGTTAATTAACAAAACTACACTCGTCATTAAGCCTCTTTCTCTACCCTAATCTTTAACCTTTTGTTTTTTCTTTTTCTTTTTTGGTATAACTCTCTCCCTCACTCCTTCTTTGAAAATAAATGACCAAAAATTAATTAAAACTATTTTTTCTAAATATATATATATAATTAATATGATTGAATAAGTTATATAGTGACTTTTTCTAAAATAAAAAAATTGTAAGGCTTTAAATAATAAAAAAAAAACAATATAAGAAGAATTTTTTTTTTTTTTTTTTTTTTTTCACAATCAAAATAACTTGGACAATTTATGTCTACAAATATTTTGATCATCGAGTTGGGTGTGGGTTAACTCTATCCTATTTTTTCGGCTCTCTATGGAAAGAAATTATTAAATGATCTTGATCTATTTAATACTTGATAGACTAATTTAATAAAAACCCGATCATGAAACTTTATAATTTATAATTTCACCTCTCTCTTAGAGTTTTTTTTTTTTTTTTTTGGCTCTCTCCTATCTGTTTCTCTCTCTTATTAAATAAATCTCCCTCAAATTTTTTTTTTTTTCTCCATATTATCATATCGTTCCTTGAATCTATATTTTACTGGATAAAAAAATATGGGATCAAATCACCACCAACTAATTAATTTTTTCATATATTACCGGTCAAAGCTCCTTTACATATATAAGTGACTTTTTCGAAAGGAAAAATAAATAAATAAATTGCTCTGCATCAGCAACAGTATCTTCGTCAACCCATTGTTCTCTCTCACACACACAGTTCACAGTAGTACTACCTATATATATATGAGTGAGTATATATATATATATATATATATATATATCTTTTTTAGTATAGTCACATTTTTTTTTTTTTTTTCATTTGAATTGTATCATTTCTTTAATGCATAACTGTATCATGGTTGTCAAAATTACGATTCTAAATAGTAAATTTTGTGTCCT